CTGACTGTCATTTTGTTGTCTCAATAAAGCTTTGTGTGTTCTCCATCTTCTTTGTCTGTTCTGTCCTGCCTGCACTTCCGTCACACCACCCCCCGACCTCCCCACCCCCCAAAATAAAAACCCCTCCCCACCCGCCCCCCCAAAATAAAAACCTCTCTCAGCCAGCCTCAAAACCCGCCTTCCCCGACCTCCCCACCCCCCAAAATAAAAACTTCTCTCAGCCAACCTCTCAATTCCCACCCCCCAAAATAAAAACTTATCTCAGCCAACCTCAAAACCCACCCCCCGACCTCCCCCACCCCCAAAATAAAAACCTCTCTCAGCCAGCCTCAAAACCCACCCCCAGACCTCCCCACCTCCCCCCCCTCCCCCCCACCCCCCAAAATAAAAACCTCTCTCAGCCAGAATCGAAACCCGCCCCTAGACCTCCCCACTCCCCAAAATAAAAACCTCTCTCAGCCAGCCTCAAAACCCGCCCCCAGACCTCCCCACCCCCCAAAAAAAATCTCAGTCAACTTCGAAACCTGCCCCCCCGACCTCACCACCACCCCCAACCCCCCAAATAAATTTTTTCAGCCGACCTCCAAACCCGCCCCCCAGACCTCACACCACCACCCCACCCGAAAAAAAACCCCTCTCTCAGCAGACCTCGAAACCCAGCCCCCTTACATTATCCACCCTCTCCCCACCCCCCCACCCCAAAAAAAAAAAAAAAAAAAAAAGTATCTCAGCCGACCTCAAAATTCCCCCCCCCCCCGACCTCACCACCCCCACCCAACCCCCCAAAAAACCTCAGCCGACCTCGAAACCCATCCCCCCGACCTCACCACCCCTGCCCTACCACCCCACACCCAAAAAAAAAACCTTAGTTAACCTTGAAACCTGCCACCCAACCTCACCACCCCCGGCCCACCCCCCAAACAAACTATCTCAGCCAACCTTGAAACCCACCCCCCGACCTCACCACCTCTGCCCCACTCCAAAAAAAAAAACTCATCTCAGCCAACCTCGAAACCCGCCTTCCCCGACCTCACCACCCCTGCCCCACCCCACCCCCAAAAAAAATTCTCAGCCGACCTCAAAACCCACCCTTCGACCTCACCACCCCCGCCCCACCCCTAATACAAAAACTATCTTAGCCGACCTTGAAACCCGCCACCCCCGACCTCACCACCATTTAAGTTTTTTAATTTTATATATATTTCATTTTATTTTCTGTCCAATTTTTGTGTGTTACTTTATAAAAAAAAGTTATATTTTAAGTTACTTAAAATGCTAAATACATTTGTTTTTGTCAGCTCCAGTCAGTAATCAGCATACAGTAAACACTTATGACCATCTAGAATCAATTTAAAGGCATAGTTCACCTTTAAAAAAAAAAAAACGAAAAACAAACTGCAGCTTCGACCAACATTGAATAATGCCCTTGCTATAGGTGTAGACCCTTTACACAGCTCCTGAAGCCTGACTGAAAAACTCCCGGAGGTGGCATCATCACATCCTGCCTTGTTGCTAGGATGTTGCTAAGACAAGCCCAGCTGTTATTGTTCACCTCGACCACCACTGGAGTGGAATCTGAAATTCTGAGCTCAGACCTACTGCACCAGGGGAAAAAAAACATGTGAGGGGGTTGAATGGTGGGGGTGAGCAGTAACAGCAAGGTAGGACGGGGTGATGCCATCTCTGGGAGTTTTCCAATCAGGCTTCATGAGATACGTAAATGGCCTACACCTATAGCAAGGGCATTAACGCCTTGGCGCTGGTCGTATGCAAATATGCAGCCACTCAGTGGGCGGGCCTTAACGCTGAGCAGCCACAGATGTGCGGCCCTGTATAAACCCCTTACCACGTTGAGAGCGCGCTCCCTGCACGCTCCTAGTACAGTAGCCAGTCATGATCGGTAAGCTCCCAATACATACTTGCCATCAGGAGCTTTTCAATTATGTGACCGCTGACATGTCCTGAATGCCTCCCTCCACCTCCCGGCATCTGCCTGCAAAAAGTTATCCATCAGATATCAGCAGAGGGTAGATTTGGGGGAGATGTGCCTGAATATGCCTTAGAGGAGCAGGATGGAGCTGGAGTAAAATCTCTCATTTACTCAATGCTGCTAGAGAGTGTATTCCTGATCCCTGGAAAGAAAATTCACTCCTGTACCATGTGGCCAGCGACAGTAGAAAATGCCCCAGCATCAGTGGGAGTAAGCATTACCTTAGGCTTGGAAGTCAATTGGATAGAAACATTTCATATCGCCTGTGGTCAATAGGAGGAGGAATGGTGTCCCTTCACTGGTAATAGTGGTATGCATGGAGCCCCATTGTTGGTGTCAGTGGAAGGAATAGCGCTCTATCGTTGGTGTGAGTGGGAGAAATAGTGCTCCGTTGTTGGTAATAGGGGAAGGAATAGTGTTCATCATTGGTTTCAGTGAAAGGAATAGTGCCCCATCATTGGTACTAGTGGAAGGGATAGAGCCCCATGGTTGGTGTCAGTGGGAGGAATAGTGCTCCATCATTGGTAATAGTGGTAGGTATAGTGCCCCATTGTTGGTGTCAGTGGGAGGAATAATACTCCATCATTGGTAATAGTGAAAGGAATAATGCCCCATCATTGGTGTTAGTGGGAGGAATAGTGCCCCATCATTGGTAATGGTGAGAGGAATAGTGCCCCATCATTGGTAATAGCGAAAGAAATAGTGCCCCATCGTTGGTGTCAGTGGGAGGAATAGTGCCCATTCATTGGTGTTAGTGGGAGGAATAGTGCCCCATCATTGGTGTTACAGTTGCAAGAAAAAGTATGTGAACCCCTTGGGATTACGTGGAGTTTTGCATGAATTGGGCATAAAATGTGCTCTGAACGTCATCTAAGTCACAACAATAGAAGAACACAGTCTGCTGAACATAATACTACACAAACATTAGATGTTGCCATGGTTTAATTGCACATAACATGTAAACATTCACAGTGCAGGGAGGAAAAAGTATGTGAACCTTTGGACTTAATAACTGGTTGACCCTCTTTTGGCAGCAATAACCTCAACCAAAAGTTTCCTGTAGTTGCAGATCAGACCTGCACAACGATCTGGAGTAATTTTGGACCACTCCTCTTCACAAAACTGTTTCAGTGTAGCAATATTCTTGGGATGTCTGGTGTAAATCGCTCTCTTAAGGTCATGCCAGAGCATTTCAATCGGGTTGAGGTCAGGACTCTGACTGGGCCATTCCAGAAGGCATATTCTGTGCTGTTGCAGCCATTGTTTTGTTGAATTACTTGTATGCTTTGGGTCCTGTTGCATCACCCATCCTCTGCGGAGCTTCAGTTGGCGGACAGATGGTCGTACGTTTTTCTGCAAAATGTCTTGATAAACTCTGGAATTCATTTTCCCATCAATGACAACAATTCGTCCAGGCCCTGAGGCAGCAAAGCAGCCCCAAACCATGATGCTCCCTCCGCCATGTTTTACAGTGGGGATGAGGTTTTGATGTTGGTGTGCTGTGCCTTTTTTTCTCCACACATAGTGTTGTGTGTTTTTCCCAAACAACTCAATCTTGGTTTCATCTGTCCACAGTATATTTTGCCAGTAGTGCTGTGGAACATCCAGGTGCTCTTTTGCAAACTTCAAACGTGCTGCAATATTCTTTTTGGACAGCAATGGTTTCCTCCGTGGTGTCCTCCCATGTACTCCATTCTTGTTTAATGTTTTCCTTATTGTAGATGTGTCAACAAAAATGTTAGCATGTGCCAGAGATTTCTGTAGGTCTTTAGCTGACACTCTGGGATTCTTCTTTACCTCATGCAGCATTCTGCGCTGTGCTCTTGGAGTCATTTTTACAGGACGACCGCACCTAGGGAGAGTAGCAACAGTGCTAAACTTTCTCCATTTGTAGACAGTCCGTCTTACAGTGGACACATGAACATCAAGGCTTTTGGAGATATTTTTGTAACCCTTTCCAGCTTCATGCAAGTCAACAATTCTTGATTGTAGGTCTTCTGAGAGCTCTTTTCTGCGAGGCATGGTTCACATCAGACAGTGCTTCTTGAAACCAGTAAACCCAAAACAGGTGTGTGGGCAGGACAGCTGTCAGCAACACATCCAATATCATCACACTGATTGGAGTCAAGGTTGGCTCACTCCTGGCTCCAATTAGCTCTGGGAGAAGTCATTAAGCTAGGGCCTCACATACTTTCTTCCTCCCTGCACTGTGAATGTTTACATGTTATGTGCAATTAAACCATGGCAACATCTAATGTTTGTGTAGTATTATGTTCAACAGACTGTGTTCTTCTATTGTTGTGACTTAGATGAAGTTCAGAGCACATTTTATGCCCAGTTCATGCAAAACTCCACGTAATTCCAAGGGGTTCACATACTTTTTCTTGCAACTGTAGCTGCACTTTCTTATAGACTTTTAATATGTTCCGAGTTATGGTGCGTTTTCTGAAAACACACCAAAACCGCGGGACATAATTGAAGTATGTAGGAAAGCACAGCTAACTGGCACGAAAACAGTTAGCTGCTCTTTAGCCAAAGAGCCACTCTAATACTGGACCCATGAGCTGGATTACAGAATAAAGTGATGTTTCTCCCAACAGACTTTAGGTGCACCAGAGCCACTGAAGAAGAGGGTTTAGCCTCAAAACGCGTAAGCCAGTTGGTTTCAGGTGACATCCTCAAAGAGTTTAGGAGCATGTGAAGAGGATTGTATAATTGCTACATTTTAATGTGCCTTTGAGACTTCTCGTTTGAGTAGATTTATTTACCTTTTTTCCCAATAAATGTGACTGGAATAATGCGCTAAGCTGGTGCGTCTTCTCTTTCATGTGTCTTTTCATTACAGTATGAAAAGCACAATATAAAAAACAAAGCTACAAAAACATTCCTCACATTACAGGCATAGCTTTTTGGCAAGATGAGTCAGTCTATGCCGCTCCATGTACCTCCTAGTCAGAAACGTCTTCCCACACTCTGGATATGAATAGGGCTTCTCCCTAGTGTGAACCATCTAGTGCTTAAACAGACTCGATTTGCGGGTAAAACACTATTCACATTCTGAACATTTGAAAAAGACTTCTTGCCTGCATGGCTCTCCTGATGTACTGTTAAAGTGTAGGAAACTGAAAGCTTTGCCGCACTCTTTGCATTTAAAGGGAGCCTTGCCTGTATGGACTAGGATGTGATTACTTAGGTGGGACTTCTGAAGGAACCGCTGACCACATTCACCACAAGAATATGGCTTCTCAACTCAGTATGGACACGTTACATAGTTAGTCTGGCTGAAAAAAGATAAAAGTCCATCCACTTCAACCATAAAAAAAAGTTTATCCAGAGGAAGACAAAAAACCCAGCAAAGCATGATCCAATTTGCTCCTGCAGGGAAAATAATTCCTTCCTGATCCCCCGAGAGGTAAATCGGATATTTCCTGGATCAACTTTACCTATACATGTTAGTATCCAGTTATATTCGGTGTATCTAGGAAATAATCCAGGCCTTTTTTAAAGCAATCCACTGAGCTGGCCAGAACCAACTCTTGAGAGAGTCTATTCCACATTTTCACAGTTCTCACTGTGAAGAAACCTTTCCGTGTTTGGAGATTACATTTCTTTTCCTCCAGACATAAAGAGTGCCCCCTTGTCCTCTTTGATGACCTCAGGGTGAATAACTCTACACCGAGTTCACTATATGGACCACTGATATATTTGATGTGCAACAAGATGGGAGTTGTAGGTAAAAACCTTTCCACACTCTATACATGATAGGGTTTGTCCTATGTGGAGCCTCTGATGGGCACGAAGGTGGGACTGATATATAAAAGTCTTTTCACACTCGGAGCAGGAATATGGTTTTTCCCCAGTACAAATTCTGTAATGATTTCGAAGATTGCTGCTACTGGAAAAACTCTTGTCACACTCAGAACAAGTGAATGGCTGTTCCCCAGCATAAACTCGCAGATGAAGCTTGAGGTTACTGAAGCAATTTAAATTTTTATTGCACTCAGGACACTGCAGAATATCCTGCCCTGTGTGCACCTTCATGTGAATATGGAGTGTTCCTTTTGTCGCAAAATATCCCCCATATTCTAAATAATTAAATTTTACCTTAATGGTCTTCCTCATGCCATCTACTTTCTTAATTTCTTTGGACCATCCAACATGAGAGTTTCCACAGACTGGGTTGAATTTCGAATTTTCAAACCCACGTTACAAAATTGCTTTCCGTACACAGAACAATTTAAGTGTTGCATTTTGTGGTTTCTGCGATGGCGTAAGAAGTCAACAATCCTGGGAAATGACTTTGAGCAAATGGACCATTTAAACACTTTTGATGTGTCTTGTGTCTCATAATGGTCGTCATTTAACAGCAATTCATTGCAGATTTCAACATCTGTTTGTGTTAATTGCAAGGCTTCAACACATGCATCTTCTCTGCCATTGCTTGTTGGTTTTGGTTTGTTGAATGCTATGGATATGTTTTTGAATTTTGGATAAGGTCTTTCTACTTTTATCTCGTCTGCAGACTCTGCTCCAACTGGGATACAATTAGCTTGAGATGAATTGGCTTTATTATTGTCTGGTGAAGAAATACAACATTCATCAAAGCAGCATTCAAAATGGGATGCACCAGAGGTAAAGACAACATAATGATGTGGAAACAGCAGAATGCTAAAGGGTATCTGACAAATGAACACAGTCATATAAAATATGCAGTTACCTTTTACCTGTAAATGTTCACCTTTTTTCTACACACAACTGTCCCTCTCTTTAGGCTGGCCATACATTATACATCTTTCTTGTACAATTTTCCTTTCGATTTACCAAAATCAAACTATGAAGTCAAACCTAAACACTTTCAATTTGTATGCAATCAGGAAGGCCCTTGTACTACATAGTTGGAGGTAAATCTAAAGAAAATTGAATAAGAAAATTGTATAATATATGGCCATTCTAAGTCTTCCTATCCTCAGTGGCCTCGTCCAGTTCAGTTACCCAGTAGACAACTGTGATGATGCAGCAAAGACAATGGATGGAAAGTTTCAAAAATGGAACCTCCAGGAGGCCACTGCAGATCAGTGACAAGTAAAAAAATCTACCTTACGTTACCTTAAAATGCCTACAATTGCAGTGTCTAAAAGACCCTTATGTCTTTTTAAAGAGAACCTGTCTTAACCTCTTCCCACCAACCAAGCATATATATGCGGCCTTTCGGCGGGTGGCCCTTAATGCCGAGAGGCCACATATATGCATACCAGGATGCAAATATTGTTGTGCTGAGAGTGAGCGTACTACACGCTCCCAGCACAGCTACCGGCAAGTAATGGAAACCTCCCAATCTCTACTTGCGATCAGAAGCTGTGACCACTGTTACATCCAATCATGGCGGTCACATGACAGAAATGCCCACCTCCACCCACCGATGTCTAGAACATCATAAAGGTCAGGGAGGCGACAGCAGGAAAGGGTTAAAAATAGTATTTCTCATAGGGTATTGTTTGTTCACTGTGTGATATAAACAAACTGTTATGATCCGCCAGGTGGTGCCTCAGGCTGCCAACTGACAGACCTACCCAGAGCGTGGGGTCTAAGCCCGGGCTGTGCTTTCACCAGGGCCCCTGATGGTGGGGATGGACTTGAAACAGTGCCGGACCAGGTTCACGACCTCTGAGCAGGCCCACCAGTGGCTGAGGAGACCTCCGGGGACGTACGCAGGTACCGGAGAGCCAGATGTGAAGCGGATGGCGGCCCCAGCAGGGTAGTAACGATCGTGGTCCCGTGGGGGTAAGCGAGGTACAGAATCGGCGGGCAAAGAGTAGTCGGGTCACACGCAGGGTCAGCAGGGTAAGTCAGTCCGTAGAATGGTCAGGGCAATCCGGGTCAATCACAGGAGCAGGCAGAGTAGTCAGGGCAATCCGGGTCAATCACAGGAGCAGGCAGCGTAGTCAGGGCAATCCGGGTCAATCACAGGGGCAGGCAGCGTAGTCAGGGTCAAACAGGGTCACAAGACGGGTGCAGGAACTCGGAATCACAGATAGACCTTGCGGCAATTACTGACAGTGCAGGGCATGTTTAAATAGTGCGCCCTGCACTGTCATTGGCCGCCCAGGACGCGCCCCCGGGCTGTCATTGGCCGCCCGAGGCGCGCCCGCGGCTTCCACTGCGCATGCGCGGCGTCCTGTCATCCGCGGCTCGCCGGGACCTGGTGCCTGTGTCCCAGCGTGAGCCATCGCCAGCGCGCATGCGCCGGCCGACAGGACGCCGCGATCCCTGACATTGCCCCCCCCTATGGGCACCCTCTGGGAGCCCCACTGATCTCTCCACCGCGGGTGGCCACGAAAAAATTCCTGGATGAGCCTGGGGGCGTGAACATTCTGGATGGGTTCCCAAGAGTTCTCCTCAGGGCCATAACCCTTCCATTTTATCAGGAACTGCGTCTGGCCCCCCCTCTTTCGGCAACTGAGGATAGTCTCCACTTCATATTCCTCCTGGTCACCTATGGCGACTGCCTCAGGAGGTCTGGATTCACGGTCCGGGAAGGGATCCGGTCTGGATGGCTTCAGGAGAGACACATGGAACACAGAATGCATCTTGAAGGTTCGCGGAAGCTCGAGTTCGTAGGCCACCTCGTTGACTACTCGTTTTACCGGAAATGGGCCGATGTACTTGGGTCCCAGCTTCCTTGAAGGGCACAGCATCTTCAAGTTGGTCGTTGCCAACCAGACCTGATCCCCTGGTTGAAGCAGTAACTCTCCTCTTCTTTTCCTGTCGAACGCCCTTTTACTGTCCTCTTGAGCTTTAGCGATGGCTTCCTGAATCGTCTTGTTATTAACAGAAAAGAAGTTCAAGATGTCTTGAGAAGCCGGTACCGGATTTTCAGGCATCAGATCAGGGAGGAATGTGGGATGATACCCGTAATTGGAAAAGAACGGGGATTGACCCATAGCTGAGTGATTCGAGTTGTTGTACGAGAATTCTGCGGAAGGCAACAACGTCAGCCAGTCATCCTGAAGGTAGGATGTGTAGCATCGTAAGTACTGTTCCAGCGTTTGGTTGGTCCCCTCGGTTTGGCCGTTGGTCTGTGGATGGTAGGCGGATGAAAGCGACAGCTTGATTCCCAGCGCTTTACACAAGGCGTTCCAGAACCTGGAGGTGAATTGGACTCCCCGATCCGACACTATATCTTCGGGAACCCCATGAAGCCTCACTACTTCCTTAATGAAGATCCGTGCCGTTTCTGGTGCTGATGGGGTTTTCTCCAGGGGTACAAAATGTGCCATCTTTGAGAAGCGGTCGACGATCACCATTATTGCTGTGTAGCCTTGGGATGGTGGGAGTTCGACCACAAAATCCATGGCTATCATCTGCCAGGCCCGTTTGGGTATAGGTAAAGGACGTAACAATCCCCATGCCCTGCTCCTGGAGGGCTTGTTCCTTTGACAGGTGGGACAGGTCTGGACGTAACGCTCGCAATCCTTGATCATATCCGGCCACCAGAACGAGCGCCGTAGTAGTTCCAGAGTTTTCGTAACCCCGAAGTGACCCGCCATTGGATGGTCGTGGCAGTGCCCTAGGACCAAGGTTTGCACTTCTTCCGGGACCATGATCCGGTCTTCCTTCCAAAACAGCCCACCGAGGTTCTGGAGGGGCGACCCAGACAGAACTGGTAGTCCTACAGAAGCGTCGAGAAGTCGGGAGCGAAGCTCCGTTTGTAGAGCGAGGAAGCTTCCGGAAGGTAAGATGGTGTCAGTTACCACTGCGTCGTCGGGGTCCTCAAACATGCGGGATAGAGCGTCTGGTTTTGTATTCTTAGTACCGGGTCGGTACGTTATATGGAATGTAAATCGAGAAAAGAAAAGAGCCCATCTTGCCTGGCGAGGTCTCAGTCGTTTTGCCGTTCTTAAATATTCAAGGTTTTTGTGATCTGTGAATATTAGGATTGGGTGTGTGGCTCCTTCCAGTAAATACCTCCATTCTTCTAGAGCGGATTTAATGGCCAGGAGCTCCCGATCTCCAATGTCATAGTTACGTTCCGCCGGTGTCAACTTCCTGGAGAAGAACGCCACTGGGTGCAGTAGTTCCTTGGTACCATTCCATTGGGACAGCACCGCTCCTACCGCGTTTTCGGAGGCGTCCACTTCCAAAACATATGGGAGAGAAGAATCCGGATAGCAGAGAATGGGAGCAGAGGTGAACAATTTCTTGAGCTTTTCGAATGCCGTTTGAGCTTCGGGAGTCCACTTAAAGCGGACCCCTTGTTTCGTCAGTTGCGTGATGGGGAGACCAGACCGGAGAAGTTCCTAACAAACTTTCTATAAAAGTTAGAAAAGCCGATGAAACGCTGTACCCCCCCTTTTTTTTGTCGGCGGGAATTGGCCAATCTAAGATCGCCGTGACTTTCTGGGGATCCATCGCGACCCCCGCGGAAGAGAGAACCAGTCCCAAGAACGTGATTTCGCGCTGTTCGAAACAGCACTTTTCTGCCTTAGCGTATAGCCCGTGTTGACGCAGCCGTTCTAATACCCGTGACACGTGACCTCGATGAACCTCCAGTGAGGGGAAAAAAATTAGGATGTCATCCAAATAAACCACCACGAAAACATCGAGGAAATCACGAAAAACATCGTTGATAAAGTGCTGGAAGGTTGCCGGTGCGTTACAGAGCCCAAATGGCATCACCAAATACTCATAGTGGCCGAATCTCGTACGGAAAGCCGTCTTCCACTCATCCCCCTCCCTGATACGAACAAGGTTATAGGCCCCCCGCAGGTCTAATTTAGTAAATATCATTGCTGATCTCAATCTCTGGAGGAGCTCGGGGACTAGGGGTAAGGGATAACGATTCTTTACCGTTATTTTGTTCAGATCACGGTAGTCTATGCAGGGCCGTAATGATTTGTCCTTCTTCTCTACGAAGAACAGCCCGGCACCGGCTGGGGATGTGGATGGACGAATAAATCCCTTCCGAAGGTTTTC